TACAGAGTATAACAGACCAGAGCACACATTCTCAAGTCAACATATTTGCTTTTTAATGTGTTCGCTCTCGAATGTGGAACGCGGTTCTTCATTCGGTTGTCATAATGGGCCGCCTTGCTTCTGCAAAGTGACCGTTAAGCCAATTCTACGTCTTCGTCCTCTCTTCTGTGCGCGAGTGGCGTCGTTCAGTGGTGGGATGTGCTAGTAATAAGGCGCTGTTTGAAATACAAAAGTGTTTGCACGGCAGCCTTCCTTGCTCTCTCCCACAACTGGTCCTTATCCACGGGTCCTTGCCCTCCCCAGCTCAACAGAAGCAACCGCCCTACAAAAGGCTGTGAATTCCGGTGGCAAAAAGAAAGGCCGTTGAATAACGCCCCGCAATCTAGCGGCTTCACCTGCTCGTGGCGGCAAATTTCTAAAGAAAACAAAAAAGAAGAGAAGACACGCACTCTTGAATTCAATTTTGTCATGGGCAAAACTAGCGAAAGAAACAAAGGAAGAAAGTCCTACCCTATCAGAGCAGTGCACGCCGGTTAGCAAGTGAAACGAATCAAAACAAGGTCAAGTTAGTGACTTCGCGTGTTCGCAGAACCCTGCCGGCTGTGAAGTCGTCTAACGCTCCGAGCGACGATATAAAGCGAAGTCACGTTGTCGCGCTCACGTTGTTCGTTCGCTTCTTGCGAGAACAAAGGGACAGCTGATCCCCGCAGACGCTGCCTCTGTTCTTCGCGCGTGCGGCGTAAGACGGAAGGGGGCGCTTCGGCACGCGTCCGTTACGACACCAGCGGCGTGCGTAGAGGTCACCGTCAACACCGGGCCTTCGTGGCAGAAGGAAATCGCCCCGTGTCTCTGCAAAACAGTTAGGCCCCTCTCCGAGGGCAGATGGTTTCTTTCTGCGGGTACACGTTGGGTTAAGAACCTCTCCTGCTCGAGTATATAGGCGTCACGGAGCCCTAACAAGTCGTTGATACGTCATTTACAGGTGACGCAGTGTTCTTAAATTTTGTCCTATTGTAAGATTGATTTACTCGAATCGGACAAGGCATTAAGCCAACATTAAAAGAAAGAAAAATAACATTTTTGTCGATTATGGGAGCATACATATCAACGGCCTGTTATAAAGGGAATGCCCATAGCATTCATTCTTGCATCCGGACCCGCCATCATGGTTGTAGCCTTCGATTACGACTGTAAAGCCGAGGTTGGGATTAATTAGTGAATTTAAAAAAATATACATGAAGGACTTAGTAGGAGAAGAGTTGAAAAAAGGTGATAGCGGTAAATATTCATATCGAAACCACGATATGATTATAAATGACGCCTTAGTGAAAGGCTCCGGAAATTTTAACCGTGCTGAGCTCTTTGACTTGCACCAACGTCTAAGCACGCGGGTCTGTAGCCTTCTGCCTGCATTGAAGTATGACCGCCATGGTCGGTATTCAATCCCGCAACCTTGAGGCCCACAGTCGGGCAGCACAAGGATTAGACAACCGCGGAGGGTAGGTCCAGAGTACTGGAAGGCCATGGTGAACGGAAGGCGGATATAGAGAAATGACATCAGAAATGAAATATCTCAGTGTAGAGAAGGTTAGGAATCAGCTCTGGCACCCCTTTCAGCAAAGCTATACCTAAACATAAAAGAAAATGCAGATGCAATAAACACCGTCAGAATGCGCACAGTGGTTCCTCATTAACATATCTGTGAGATCGTCAGTGCATGTGAAGTCAAAACGGTTCAGAAGAGTAGCGGAAACCTTTGTAAGAAAAGAAGGAGAAAACAGTGCAGAGAAAAGTAAAAGGGGGCTCCAACAATAGAACAATTTTTCGTTCAAACGATAGCCCAACTCGTCCCCACAGGGTGTCAGGAGTTGTGGACAGAAAATATAGGTTTGACGGAACACAAAGCCTTCTCCACCCGAACGAGAAACCGAAGAAGAGAAGGTTGGGGAAGTAACGGACAAAGGAAAGAAATAGGGGAAGGCGGCTGGTTTTTCTCTCCCGTTTCTTTCTTTCTTTCTTTCTTTCTTTCTTTATTTATTTATTTTTTCTCTCTCTCTTTATTTCTTCACGTGCCCCGCGACCCGCTCAAGCGTGCTGAGCCTCCTGAGACGGGCCACGCGCCAGTCGCGTGCAGCGGCACCTGCCGGTGGCTGAGGGCATAATTGGGCCGCGCCTGTCGGCATCTTCTTGCCGAAAACCGTTAGCGAGCCGGCTGCCTTGTGAGAGCTCTATAAAGCGATAAAAATAAAATGAAACAGTGGAAGCAGGTGACTGTAGTCCGGTACTCCAAACGGCAACGTTTGAAGAGAAGCGAGACTGTTCTAGCGAATAACCGTTACAAAACTTCAGTGGCCATTGTATTTCCATGAGCTAGGTATACAGTGATGAGCCCTCCGGATCGACAGAGATTAGGCACTTAAGTAATTTCACGCCAGCGTTGCTATGCAAAATGCTTGAATTGCTAAGTAACGACACTGGAAGTGTATTGGTTCAGTGATGTGACCTATACCTAAAACATGCAACTACTTCGCGATGTACTTTAAAGCCTAACGCAGAACTACTGATAATTTTTGTGTCCTTATCACGAACATCATCCACTTAGTTGCGTTTGACGGTGAGCAATCACTTTTCTTGGCGCTATGGCTCTAAATATATCATATCCTATGGTATTGTCGATTTCACCCGCACCAGAGATGGCCCAATAGGTATCCAAAACTGATCTCAACATGACTTGAAGACTAGCGCTTGTGCCTGCTCTGTCTACTTGGGGTTTGTGTGAATTTCGGGTTAAAGTATAGTATTAACAGCTTTCCCAGGCCCAATAGTATTTTGTTAGCTATAATAAAGAAATGAAGATAACAGATTATAAAATACAGCAAAGTGAGTAATTGGCCTTTCAGAAAAACAAAAATAAGTGCAAGGCATACCTTCCATTAGAATTAGAACAGTGGCCTATCCAGAATGTGGCCCACTGGACCCGTGCTGCGCTTCTCCTTCCCCTCCCCTTGAAAGTGTTTTACAGCAAGAGCTGTTATGAAATCACTTTTCAGGTGAAACGCAGTTGTTGTCTGCCGCCGCCGCTGGTGTCCTTAACCACATCGCACCAAATTAGGAAGAAAAAAAACCTTGCACCATTGACACGGTGGGGCTTGAACCCGCGTCCGCTGCGTGCCAGACCAATGTTCTACCACAGAATAACGCCGATGCTTATAACTTGTTGTCAAACTTGCCTTAGGTATGCATGACCTAGCCCCAATGGCACAGTGGGGCTCAAACCAAGGTCCGCTGAGTGCCAGCCCAGTATTCTACCAGCTACACCGGTGCTTGTGACTTGTCAAACTTGCCTTAGGCAGACTTGATGTCGGGAAAGCGATCGCGTTAATACGACTTATAAAGCGTTTTACAACAGCGAAAGAACAAGCAGTCCTCGCACAATGCGAATAGCGTAACGAGTGGGCCGTCCAATGCTCCAAACCATCACAAGAGCTTGTTCTTGTTCCCCTGGTTAACTGTGGCGCATACCCACTTCAGCCATAATTCCTCATCATCAGCCACTGCATGGACAAATGGCACGAAATTTCTTGCAAGTGTTAAGCTGATACCACGCTTCTCAGAAGAATGACGAAAAATAGCATAGCGAATGCCGGTCTGCTACCCAAATGTTTTTTTTATTAATGCCCTAGTAGGTACCAAGCAAGTGTGCTTGCAGTAGTTACCGAATGAGTGTTTTGAAAAGGCACTGAACGGTCGCCCTTCTAGCTTTCGCTGTGACTGTGCATCGCCTACCGTGCAGGCCTGGCGTTTTTTTTTTTTTTTATGGCATACAGAGCGAAAACTTCGCATTTCAAATAAGTGCTCCCTCCCCCCCCCCTCCCTGAGAAAGATAATTTCTGCCTACGCCCCAGAATTAAGAGTAACACAACTATATATTCGTTAAAACATTAAACAGGGCACATGCACTCAAAGATACCCTTGAATGTTTTCTATCATTTTGCTGCCAGCAAGATGTTCTTGAAGAATAGGAATGTTTTCAAGAGCAGTTGAATCGGAAGTCCTTGTAAACACCACGGTTGCTTTTTTTAAGTCTTCGAATTGCCCGATTCAATCCCGACATTCTCTTGTGAATGTGAACGCGAAGTCACCACAAATGTAAACACCACGGTTGCTTTTTTTTAAGTCTTCGAATTGCCCGATTCAATCACGACATTCTCTTGTGAATGTGAACGCAAAGTCACCGCAAGTGTGAGGCAGCAAAACAAAATAAAAGATGCACGAAAGTGCTCGGACAGGAGGATGACCGAACGAGCCACGCGCGCCGTACGCGAGAGTCGTGCGATCCGCACGCGAACGGCGGCGTCGTTCAAAAAGCGCGGGAAAACAAACGACTCAGAAAGGAGCGGGAAATCTCAGACCGAAAGAAGCCAAAAGCCCTGGTAGACAGCGGAGTCAGTGGAGAGGATGAGAGAGCCCCGTCCCCATAGTGATAGGCGCGGTAAGATTAAGCGTTCCGTTCGTACAACGAGCAAAAAGCGAACAGAGAGGGCCAAGAAACACCGAAACAGAAAAGCCGGTGGTGGCATCGCTCAAGTGCTCCCATAGACCGCCGCGCTATCGTTTACGTGTTTACTTCATTTCTAGTCTCGCGGAGTAACGACGATGCCTTCCTCTTACCTCTCCTTCTTTCTCGCACCCTGCAATAGTACAGACGCAGCTCTCCATCTTATGGCAAAGCGCCATTTGCTCTCTTACAGGTTTTGCCCATGCGGTGATCCGGTTGGGCTTGCGGGAGGAGGACAGACGCCGGCTGGAGAGAGAAGCCAGTGTGACTAGCGCACTCTCCCGTCATTGGTCGTGACGTCATGACTGCCCTTTCTCTCTATTTTCATCCTCCTCTCTCAGCGTCGGAGCTCAGGGTTGCCCTCCCTAAAGGGGAAAAAGCGACAGTGGCCCTCCGGGCGAAGTCACACCTTCGTTTGGTTTCGACTGCGCAGTATCGGAACATGGAAGCCCTGCTGCCCAGCCCTGCCTCTAGTGACGAGATGGTGTCTTCGGCTTACTACGGCCACCAACTGGCAGTCGCCTGGTCGGCGACGCCTCTCTCTGCTATGCCTGGATTTTGCACGAGGTATTTTCGTCATCAAGGGCTTTTAACATTCATCTCTCTGTGCACATATGGTCGAACTCTTAGCCTGCATGTTGAAGACTTGAAGCCCTGGCGTGCTTTTTTGAACACACGTGGTTCCTGGGAGGCATTAGCAAACGTTGATATTGGACGGTGTTTAGGACAGCTCGGCTTGGTTTACGCTCACATTACTTGAAAACGGATAGTGATGACAAAGCGAAACTATAACTGAGAGTCACCTGCTAGGCAATTTTTCGATACTAAGTATGAAGTGAGCCACGCCGTAAAACAAACAAAGCTGCAGGGCAGTGTAGTTTCATTCTAATGAAAACTCTCATTTGGGGGGACATGCAACCAATAATCAAATGAAGCCGTGGAAAATAAATTAGCTGTGAGTGATAATAAAAGTATGATAATTGCATGCCTTCGCAACAAATTGTTGTAACCCACTATCATTTTACTTCAAGCAATGACGATTGGGTGCTTGATCTCGCTTCAGCGACGGTATATCCTAAGTGAATAATCATAATAAATTCAAATGTGAATGGTACACACCTCCAGAATTTTAGTCAACTGTGGAAGACCCTGTTAACCCGATTCAATGGCAACTTAGATGTGAGGTAGAGACAATTCTTAAGGTCATATTTTTGGGAGAGAGTATTTGTCCCGTTTGCCACTATATGGTATCTGTACTATCAGCATCAAATGAAACCCGAACAGCTGCAAGTCTTTGCGATAGTATAGTGAGCGCCGTCCAGTCATCACGAAGAACTGGCGCGCATATCCTGTGCGGAAACTCTGCTCATACATGCGAGCCTGTCCATGGTGGCAAGTGGACGGGGCGCACTATACCATCCTGGAGGCTTGTCGCTGTTCGGGTTTCACTTTACGCAAACAGTACATGCGATATTCTAGTAGTATCGTAATGCTGAGTGGCCACATGCATCCAAGTCCACACAGCGAGGTACAAAACTGTTGATCCAGAGATGACAGAACAGCGCTGAGTGTGGTATGTCGTTCTTCGCCGTATCTCGGCATATTCAATGATATTTCACTACTGAGGAGTTGGACGTTGTTATTAGCGTAGTCATCACGTGTGTTGGCTAATCTTGCTAACTTCTTGTCAGAGCACTAAATAATAATATCTGGGCTTTAACGTCACAAATCTATAATATATGATTATGAGAGACGCTGTAGTGGATGACTGCGGCAATTTCGACCACCCGGGGTTCTTTGATGCACACGTATATCCACGTACATGGTTCTCTTCGAAACACAGGTACCCCTAAGATTCGAATAAGAAACGAAAGTGTGACATTCTGCACCAAATCGACATTATTCGTATAGACATCAATTTAGAACGCTACGCCACGGAACAGTTCAGGGCGCATTTCTCGGTGAAGGTCGCACAAGCAAAGTGTTCACGTCTAACGCTTTTTTTGTGTGCAGACGTGACAGCCTTCATTAATGATTTCTTTGTCAATCACAGCATAACGCTACGCTTGCAAAAACAAATACGACAATTTCGCTTCAATTCCGCAAAGCCAAAGCATAGTTCCCTCTTGAAAAACTCTAAACAACGAGTGTACCTTCATTTCTGGTCATGAATGCTTCTGTTGTAAAAAAAAAAAAAAACAATGAATTGTGAATTTAATCGATAGCTTCAAGTTTTACCTAATCATACAATGACGCATTCGCTGAATCGTGCATAACCGAAGGAGTATACAGGTTTTCAATAGATAAAAATCATGGTATGATTATGAGACAAGCCGTGGTGGAGGGCATCGGAAATAATCATCATCTGGTGTTTAATAACAAGCAACGTACACGAACATTGCAAAGTGCACAAGTGTCTAGCGTTTCGCCTTCATAGAAATGCAACTGCCGCAGCCTGAACCGAAACCGTGATTTTCGGGTCAACAGCTTATCACCCTAGCTATTGTGGTACCGAAGCGGATGACCTAATTTCACTTTATTAATGAGGACTTTGCGACTATTATTCGTTCGACCTTACAGAACAAACTACAGCCCCCACTGCGCAAGAAAATTCTCAGAAATACACCTAACTAACAGGAAAATGACACACTGCATGCCCTGAGAGCGGCCAAGCCACCTTGACGAAGATCGATTTCTAGACGATTAATTGCTCCCTCATGCTGGCCTTGCAGCATTACTTGTACAGTCGGTCCACCCTGTCGCTGCAGGCGGTGGTGATAAGTACTCGTCACGGCGCACGCGTTATATAGAAGCTCGTCAACTGGGGACCGGCGAATCTTCTCAGAATTCGCTCAGCAAACGTGCGTCTGCAGGCAAGCACACTGAAATCCAACCCTAGCCTCTTCTTGTGAAATTGTAATTGTCAGGAATGGACCTCACTGTAACTTCAGCAACCTTGATAATCAGTGATTCCGAAACAAATATATATGCTGGGCTAGTGTACACATGGCGTTAATTACTGGATGGCATGGATTTAGCGCTAGGACAAAGAAGGATCAGTGAAACACAGGAAATTCACTTCTCACGAATAATTGTTTTTACAAAAACCTTTTCTATAACTATAGACACTGCCACTTTAGAAAGCGCAGGCGCTTGTTAGAGTGACACACAAATCCTCAATTGAGGAGCATTAAGACAAAGATTATAACAAGCTTTCTAAGATCTATTTGTCTTTGTTGCTATTAGGCAATCTTTTTGTGATAAAGGTTCATGGGGAGTAGTGCTTGTCGTTTGCATGAGCGTTCCTTCTGTGTTTTTTGTTGAAGGCGCGCAATTCAGTGGCCAACAGTCATATCATTGCCTTGTCAGCAAACAGTCATACGGCGTTCATGATTAACGCTTATTTAATAGAAAAAACCTTTCTCTTTAGTTTGTCTTCATAAAAGAACGAACACTATCTGCAAGTTAGTGGTTTTATGCCCCAATCAATCAATCACATCGACCAACCCAAGACACACTACGGTTCTCACGACACTGAACGTTATTGAAAACGAATGCCTGACAGCAGTATTCACCACAACAGCAATGCAAAATATACTTCCTTGAGGTGCAATATTTTTCAGGGTAGGGTGGGGTAAGGTAAAACTTGGGGCAGAACGCCACATTTTTACTTTGCCAATCTCTGTGGCTAATACCATCGCTACTTGTCCTTGTTTTTTCTCTACTTCAGGGATAGGTGCTAGTAGTTGTCCAGCTTTTTATGTGTAGTTTATCATTGCTCACGTGAGAAAAATTACGCGACTGGTGTTGGTGTGTTCGTGACCCTTAAAAAAGACATGAAATTCTGCTCGGCTAAATTTTTTGGACCTGTGTATGAAGGTACTCCGAAGTCAGTACAAAGACTTACGGACTTTTTTGTTACTGTATATTATTATCTACATGCCACCAATCGTTTGGTTCACTTGGTGCATGGTGCCAAAGCAGGAATGCTTTTTGTTTGAATTCAGGCATGTGGGAGGGGGAAAGTGCGACAAAAAGGCAATGATATTGCCTCATAAAATGTCTCATTAGGTGAAAATTTACTTATACTAATTGTATAATATATTTTAATACACTCTTGGTTCAGGAGGGTTAAGTTATACTACAGAATAATATGTAAATCATGGGTGGAAAACGACATGAAAAATCGCTGACTCCTGTTTAGGACACGAACCACTTCATTCACGCTACATCTAGACTGTTCCTCGTTCCCAGTGATGCTCTCAAGAAGCGCATGAAAATTTCAAAGAATTTTTAAGTCAAGTCCTTTACAAACACGTTATCTAAATCAAGTTATAGTTAGTTTGTTTTTTCATATCAAAATTTAAAAAAAAAACAGGCGATAGAAAATCCGCGATTCATCGGCTCACAAAGCTCGGCTGACTAACTTCAAAGCCACGAAATACCCGTACAATTATTAGAAATTAGTTATTCGGAAACCCGTTCTGTTCTGCACGACAACAATAAAAATAGGCCAGTAAGATTCGTCAAAACATATTTAGCTTGCAATCAATGAATGAAGTACAAGCGTTAAACAAAAAAAAATGCCATTAGCACGAAGAAAAACTGGCGGTGCTTGTTCTGCTGGTTTTGGAGCAACACAGCGCCGGGTTCTGTCTGGACTTATTGCGTGGAGGGCAAGAAGGGGGCTCATGAAGACTGTGTAGGGGCCCACCGAGTGAATTTCAAGTGGTTCTACTGCGAAATCTGAAGGGATGAAATTTTTTGCACTGCCTCATTTTGCCCCACACAGTGTTTCGTTTTGCCACGCAGGTTTGGGTAAAATGAGAGATTTTGTGTATTTTCTATTTGTTTTGAAAACACACCTTAAAATAGCGGTAAGCTGGTCATATTTATGCCGCATATACTTTGTACCAAAAGGAAAGTTTATGTATTTCCATTTAGGGGTAAAGAGTGCAATAAATATATTATTACTTTTTTTTTTCAAACTTGGATGTTAGTGACCTTGATTGGCATGGGCTTCCTTTTACCACCAGAATTCGAAAATTCTAGAGGCAACAGAAAAATCAAAACGAAATATTGCGGTGAATGCAATTTTGTATTATTCAGTTAGAATATTTATTTTTTTTAAACGTGAACACCCGGGCACTATGACAGAAGAGTTACAACGTGTGGCACAAACGCAATGTACATCAATTGGCGTACATGCGACATTGAAATTGTTCTGTACTAGCAATACATTTCAGTGCATATCAATCGAACACTCAGTTTATGTTGATTCCTGAGATTTTAAGTGTCATAACGAAAGCGTGATTAGCACTGCGAGGCACGCCTTCATGAAGGGTTCGGAAACATCGACTCATCGGGCTTTCCCTAACGTGCACTCACATAGCACAGTATGCAAACCTCTGACATTTCGACGCAATCAAAGTTCCACCACAGTGGATAGTATCAAACCCGCTACCTTCTTCAGACGATCACCTTAACACTGTACCACCATGGTATACGCAGAACTTTCAGTTTTAAATATATAACACGAAAGAAAAGGAGTTTCATTTATTGAATAATTTATAACAAATTATTTATTTATAAGTAAATATTTCAAATGAAGGGACACACAGAAATATGGCGCATTTTCAGTAACTGACGCTATACGCAAGCGTAAGCTAAGATGAAGGAGAGCGCGCCCCGCACATCTAAATCAAGTCGTCTTCCTCGGTGTCTCTCATGTTGCTTCAGAGTGAGATAGCAAGACCTCCTGGTGCTCAAACAACGTCTCGGTGCTTTATGTAGTGTAGCGAAGTGGCGGAGCTTAAGGCGGCATACGTGAGCAACGTCTGCAGATAGTGAAGAGAAGGCACATGTAGACTCGAGTGAGACTATCTCGTACGTGACGTGTGTCAACTGCCGCAATCCGTGGTGGGTTTCCCTAGTATCGGGAAACCAGTTCTTCACAGAGTCCGACGCGTCGAGTCGGGGTCCATGATAGGAATGGGCAACCCGCGGTAAAGAGTTCATCGAATTACCCTTTGCCGCATGTGGAACGAATACTGATCAATGATGGTTCTAATGTATCAAGTGCTAGCCAGTCGCCACCGTGAGAGAATGGGAAGTCGGACTCCTCCATTACGAACACTGAACATTTCGTCCTGCGCTCTTCGTTCACGAGTCGTGAGAAATGAACTCCGTGAACCTTTACAACTTGTCTGGGATTTTTTTTTTTCTAGCGATAGGTGACGATCGCTGGAAGATTTGCGCCCGTGATTAGGCAAGATGACACGAGAGGGCGAGGGTTGCGCACCGGTTTTCGAAAGAGGTTCATCGATGGGCAAGCGAAGTGAACGAGAGTGATTAGATGCAAGCTGTAGGCGGCGCGTCGTACTTTTCTTTATTGAACCGACAGAAACTTATACCGCCGGCGGGCAAGTGAGGGCACCCTGCAGTGCGGAGGAGACAACAGTTGACCATTAGCTTAGGGCACAGCCGTGGGAAACGCGGTGAGAAGAAAGCATGTCCAGCGTGGGAACGGATGGACATGGGCTTCGGTTATGTTCTGTGACGTAGCAACGGATGATGTCCTGCGGTGAAGCGCGGTGTCTAAGTACAGGAGAAGTGTCTTGAACATTTTTTTTTCTTCATCCTCACGAAAATAATGACTGTCTGTTGCAGCGAAGTTTTGAAATACCACAAATATATGGTGTTTTGTTGCGCCGGAGTGCACGAAAAATAATGGAAATCAACATGTAGCTTCAACTGTTTACTGACCGCAGTGGTTTTTCACAGAGATATAGCTAAATGCTATGCTCAGTGAGGGTTTCATAAACCTGGTTGTAACCAATTTCTGCAGTTTATAAAACTTAGACCAAATTCTTTTTTTTTCAAAATAACATACACAACCCACTTATCGAGCTTCTAGCAAGGAAGCTTCGAACAAGTATCTGTAATAAAAGAATAAAAGTTAACTAAACCCACGAGAACATACAAACAGCAACACCACGAACGATACCACGTAAATCAAAACTATGCCTATACGTCAGTGCAAACCACGGTGGTAATTAAATGTAAATTAGTTTTCGTGTGTTTACTAAATTTATTCAATGCAGCTTACTACAACAGTTCGCCTAGTGCTTGTTTCGTGTTATCGGACTTCAGCTGATTCGGCAATTAAAGAGATACATACACCGATCATGAATTAGACCCAACTACTCTATCCTTCAAGGCAGCAAGAATACTTCAATTTTTCCTCCATTTTCGCACGAAATTAAGCAGGATAAACAACGCATCTCCTCTCTCCTTATATATGCAGTGACGACCCACACCTCATGCGTCACCATTTACACCGTATTTGGACGTCACAATGACATTGCTTTTAGGTCCCTGCCACTTATGGCCTCACACGATGGTTCAGTCAAACAAAGCGTGTCGATGAGTGTAGCGTATGGATTTGGCTACTAAAGTTGCTTACTGCCATCACTTGTTTGAACGGATCACGACAATAGACAGGAGTTTTTGTCAGATGGAGGAGGGCGACGTGAAGGCACTTAACTAAAGCCTGGACTACTTGAGAAAAACACGTGATTCATTATTTTTGGTCACATACCTTCTCTATCGAATTCTCTTGGGGAAAGGGGAGGTCAGGCTCCTATCCTCCCCTCCTATCGGACACGAGTGTAGAAATGGTTCGTGCTTGCAAAATTATGCAACTCTGCTGGCGTTGGCTATGGGCTGATTAATGTTAATTATTAGCTGTTATAACAGTAACGCGGTCATAAATCTGTGTGAAATAATGGAGTTGTATATATCTATATTCTTCATGCATTCACGTACCGCTCACATTTTTGCAGCCACGGAAGTCATGGTTTCAACCCGGAAACCCCGTCACCCGACAACTCTTCCAGTTGGGAGTCCCAGCTCAGATCGGACTCTCCGACCAGGGACGCAGTCAGGACGGTGGCCGATCTAGTGCCCGTCAAAGATCACTTCACTTCCCCGGCTGGCGCCACTGGCTGCGACGTAGACCCTACCGCAGTCGTGGTCTCTTCCACGTCGACGGCAGCGGCCGGGTCCGGCACTTGCAGTGGTGTCAAGAAAATGTCTTCATCGCACCGGGAAAAGCCGCCCCACCTGGTGGCCCGTAGGAACGCCCGCGAGCGTCGAAGGGTGCAAGCGGTCAACAGCGCCTTCTGCAGGCTGCGCAAGTGCGTGCCCATTGAGAACAGGGCCAAGAGACTGTCTAAGGTAGGGGAGCCATTGCTGGCACCGTAAGAAGAAAGGGCGTTCTGAGAAGACCTCTGTGAAGTTTCTTTGCTCACTACATATTTAGACCCATTCTCGAAAGTCATCACGCGTCACTGCGCTGAAACCAAGTGGCGTTACGCGGCGACTAATGGGAAGAGCCACCACTTAATGTCGCGAAATCGATGAAACGGCCGTCGGTGGTGGCGAGGGAAGCCGAAAGTTGTTCGGCGAGCCTTTGGTCTTAGAGCCGATCTGAAGTAGCCTTTTTTTCTTTTTTTATAGAAAAGGACTCGAAAAAAACGGACAGGAACACTAAGTTGTGAGAAATACCAGGGCTCTTCCTGCCGAAGTTGTGTCAGAAACATGATAAAAAAGAACATATTTTTACTGTGCTAACGAACAGAGATGGTAATGAAACAGTAAACATTGGCTAATGACAGAGTAGCAAGAGTGCTCAACATACAATCGTTTCAGCATGTAATTTGTTCTATAGGCTGGGGCCACGTCTGCTCATCCACTACTTTTCTCTTGCCGCCATGTGCAAAGAACAGGCCATGTGGCGGGCGTCTCATTCATGGTGCTTTAAAAACAGCGCAAATACCGAAATGAAGAAAGAAGCAGACACGAACAGCATCTTTGAGCCTGTTTCTGGTTCCTTTTTGGCATAAGGTCACTGTATTCGTAGTTTCATTGGTCTTTGCCCAAAGGATCCTGCCGTGCGGTTTTTGGCCCATCCCCTTTTGTGGCCGAGTGCCAGAAGGGTGAGGACATCATCCTCATCATCGTCCCTACCACCACCAACTTTTTGGTCTTGCCATTTGTGTTGTTGTTAAAGCACCGTGCATTTGAATCAACTTGCCCGGTCTGCTATCCAACTTCATTTTATTACATACCTGTCATTTTGTTGTTTGATTACGCAGGTGAAGACATTGCACAAGGCGATAGAATACATATACGCTCTTCAAGACCTCCTCAACAAGGCCGACGAGGACGCTGGAGTTAGGGTGGTTGCAGTTCCGAACACAGCACATGTGACCGAGCCATGTAAGAGTGAGTCGCCAGTGGTGAAAAACAAAGTAAGCGAACCCTCATGTGACCAGCAACGATGGATAAATCTGGAAAACGTGAGAACTGTTCTTCTGTATTAGTTGTGAAAACTTAAAATGACAGCTGAACGGAGACTTCTGAATAATTTTTTTATGGCACACTTCTAATGACTAATCATTTCGTGAGTAAACTTATAATGCAATAATGTCGACCCAGTATGCACTTAACTTTGACTTCAGTCATCAGATGTGGCAGAAAAACTGATGCCTCAAGCCAGTGCGAATCTTCAAGCACGCTAACTTTCTTCCGTTGGCCACCTAGGGTATATAAGAGTGTCTTATACGAGACGTTAACTTTAAAAAATATTCACTCTGAAGTTTTCCCCAGTGTATATCTCGTCATGGACTTCCAGTATTGCTAAAATAGGACTCGATTGATACAAAGCTTAAGCGTTCTGTCTTGATTCTGTGATTTATGGTGATGTTCAAGAATCCCAGTTTTTCCGTACTGTAGATACGTGCTTTTGCAGTTTTATTAGAGTGGGTAACGTTTTTTCTAAAAATTTCTAAAACAAAAAAGCCACCACGTAAGTAATGGTTTACGAAACTACGGCAATCCATAGATCGTAAAATGTCATGTCGTACACAGCCGCGAAGTTGTTTTATGATGCCACTGTTGTGGTATACGACTTTCATAAGTCATGAATTGTCCTATTCAGAACAGAGGAGCATGCGAAAAATTAGAAGGATATTTTTCACAAAAACGGAACTAAAAGTTAACGAAGTTGAAGTTAAGGAACTTAATGTTTTTATGCTGGGTACGATATCAGCTATGCATTCCGACCACCTTCGTCTCGAAGCAATAGTAAACATATTTCCTCAGATGCGACATAATGTCCCGCTTCTTCGCGGAAACCACATGAAAATGCGTTCAGACGCTATCTTCCGAAAGCAGAATTGGCTACTGAGTGACACTCATAATAAGTACCAATGCTCTGTCTTTTTATGCAGGTCGACCGAAACACTGAGAGTTACCAAGGTTTCGTCAACTTCTACGAACAGTTTCCGACAGCGTATGCAACTTGATTGCGTCCCATAAGAGACGCCGTTAGTGACGTCGGCGTAACACTGACGGACAGATGAAGCGGTGCCCGTGCAATATGGACCTGAAGCGAGCTACGAAGGAAGGAATGCAGTAATAAAGAAGCAACTTACAATCTGCAATATGGTAGGATTGCTATTACCCACATTACTCAGGTCATGGGGTTTATCATTACCACTTGTAAAATTAGGCGTTCCGGAAAAGAATTATCTTCAATATCAGTACAAAGTGACAAATCGCGCTTGTTCCGTCGCCTCCTTCTTGTCCCAAGTTATATGGCACTTTTGTAAATCGTAGACAGGGCTGACAACAAAGCTTTCTTAATGGCAGTTGTCAGCCTGCTCTCTCTCTAATGTATTATTTCTCGATCTTAGTGCATGTGTGTTTCACATGAAATGTTAGTAATAAGATTCTTCGAGCACATGAATTGGAGGGACGGCGTTTGGAAATGTTTGAAATTACCCATAGCTTAAATCAAGGCAGACATCACGAACATGGTGGAAGACTGCAGATATGGTAAGCCATTGAATTTGGGTTGTCGCTGATGGCTATGTTTCGAAAGGTGGTCGGGTCATTCAAGGCAGCAACCTTGAACAGTTGCTGCCTTGATTTGCTGCCTTGAAGTTTCTGCCTAGAATAACACTAGACTTTGTGTCGAAACCCTGGCTGCAGTGACTCCACGTGTTCCTAAAGTTTTCACCTCTTTATATAATATGATGAAACTCACTGAAATTTTCACTGACGTTCCCTGCTGACAAGTCACCAATCCTTGTTGCTTAGTTAGGCTTCCTGGATTTTGTGAAAAGCAATTGTAGTTACGACACAGTTGTGCCAATTTTGGGGGCTTCTTTATTGTCACAAGCTCTCATGCTTTTAACTATCAACTTTATTGTTGCAATTTTTTTCAGCAGCGAGGGTCACTGAAGTATAGGATGCATTCTTGACATCTTGATGATAACACACTGCCGGGTCCAGTTTGCTACTCCGCAGAGAAATCGGAGCATCGCATTTCAATGCGACATAAATCAGTGGCAAATGTCGCTTTTGTAAGTAATTTTGTACTCTGTATATCTGAACAAGTAAATGCAAAAAATTACGCTAAGGTAGCTGAGAAGGTGAACTGAGAAATTGGTGACGCGAACAACGAGTGACCCTCATGTTTCTCTTCCACGGACGTCCGCTTCAGCACTTCCATTGTTCTTGATATACAAAAATTTGTTAAAAAATATAACTGGTAAAAAATAAACAATCCAGGTTTAAGGTCACAGTTTTAATGCATGGATAGACCATATGTTTTCTTAATACAGCTTTCAAATAATTCCCATGATAATTCGAGAAAATTAGTTTAATGAGTTCATTAAAAGAAGGAACGGTGGTCGTGTGAGAAGATGGCATCGCAGCGGCAACTATGGGAGTGGGGGTTAACAACTCTGCGTAGCCTCCGAGATTCACTCCTGCAGCTTCAAAGTACACAATTGTTAGCCCAACAAAAACACACTATGGCAAACGAACTCCGAGATCCACTAACTCCGAAGTCCCACTAACAGACAGCTATCACAGGTTCGGGTTGGCATTCGATTCTTCTTTTTCCTTTTTAATTGATTGACATACACAGATTTAGCTACCATTCGAAGTCATGAAAAAGAAGTGTTGCATGAAAGAACATATACACAAAGGTAAAAACACCCCGTTGAAACATTAGCGTGAAAGTATTTGGTTCTTTGTTAAGTCACCTTTATTTCGTCTTATCCTCTTCTTAATTTACCTTAAAATTTAGCTCACATTGAATTCACCTCGGTTATCTAACGCATTTGATTATTCCTTCACTCGCAATTTATTCACCTTTAATCTTAATTGCCACTAAGGCCATGCGGGTATCCATCGCACGTGACTTATGGTACCATTCACGTTCCCGCCGCGTATCCCGAATTTAGAAACACATGAGCCTCTAAGGCTGTCGCCATGTGTCAGCGATATGTATACCATCGCGATGTGTGTATCGACCTGTATCTTCAAGGGTGAAATGTCAAGGGCCTAAAAGTCACCCAGATTTTATCGTGCCACCTTTTATAACTCAAATACATAACCTTGCAAGTATCATTCATTAAAACAGTGGCATAAGCTGCATCTAATAGTGTAAATTTAAGGGCTCGTTTTTTATATGTTAGACACAATATTAATGAGAACAAGCAGATAATATTCGTGATATAATTTGTTGCTAAGTCTCATTATTGAGATGTATCTAACACATTTCGTAGTACAGAATTTGGATCACAAAGCTCGATCTATCTTCAACGGAACTCTTATTGCTTCTGTCATTTGCAGGAACTCAATGCAATTGATATCAGCATTTGCAAGCTACTGATGCGGCATGTCACATGGGCAGCGGAACCTGGTACTAGCTCCGAATCTGCACAAGAACTAGAAACCTGCTTCTCGTGCGAGACTTCAGTATGTACATAGACAGAGCAGCAAGAAGGAAAGAACAAGGTTGGAAAGGCAATAAATAATTTCGGTGGTACGCAATTGGATGTATTTGATGTAAATAAAAAAGGTATTGTTGTCTTACACACTGCTCTTTTTCATTTTCGCAAGAGTCATATGACCCGACGCTCTGAAACGCTAACAGTTTTAGCCTCCCGAGTGAGAATGGTTCATTGTAAAAGAAGTACAAAAAATGTACTGTTGGTGTGCCCATACGCGGAACCAAAATGCAATGCATAGAGGTACGCATTTTTTTAAAAATAATAATTATCTCGGGGACCTTCAACGCAAGAATTTTGATCTGTCCGTCTGTCTTTATATTTGTCTGTTAGTCTGCCCTTAATCTTAACGGCATCTAACGATACCCCAAACGGCCGACCCTATCCGCAGCGCCCACCAATAGTGCTCAAAATTCAGCGTTCATACTTTTGCGATTCTCAATTAAAATCAATGATTGTGCATATATGAGGCACCATAACATTGATTGATATATAGTGTTTAAGGTCCCAAAACCACCATATGATTATGAAAGACGCCGTAATAGAGGGCTCCGGAAATTTCAACCACCTGGAGTTCTTTAACGTGCACCCAAATCTGAAGCACCATAACAACACGTCAATATTCTGTATGTGCGTATTTTACTAGAAAAGGCATACATAAGTAATTCTAAGGACCGTAGCGTTTATCACGCTGCACAGACCATGCAACGCTTGCACGAAAAGGCAAGTGTTTCCAACGCTTTGCTAAGACGACCCGGTAGTGGCACCTACCCGTCGCCTTGCGTTATACACCTTATCGCCTCCGAGACGGGCGCGCAGGCCGCGCGCTTCATTTTTCAAGATAACTGCTAGATAGCGCCCATGTCGCACGTGTGACGTGACTTGATGCACTCGTTCACCTCCGCTGCACGCTCGAGACACTATAACGCAGCGCCTCCAAAATACCATTCACCAATTTTCTTGCGCGGAACACCAAATAAGCGTTTTGTTCACTCCCTCCAGACGCAAGCTATCCTCTTTGGATGACATTTGCAGTGTAACATGCAGATATGGGGCCAATTTTTTTTTTTCACAAGACTTACAAGAAAAGTTCAGCAGATTCCACGCACCATGGAAATCGATATCGTGCGAAGCACCCGGAGAGAAGGTAAATATGGCGTACTTTATTTTTTTTTTTCGAGAGGCAAACGGTACGAAATGACGTACAAGTGTTATACGCACAGGCATGTATACCGAACAGTCGCATATGTTTTAAGTGACCAGTTTTTTAATGTTGCGTGACTATGGCAGGAGAAACATTGGTAAGACCAATACCAGGAGTAGTAACGGGAAATTACCAGTTATTTAGAGTTGCGTGACTATGACAGGAAAAACATTGGTACGACCAATAGCAGGAGTAGTAAGGGGAAATGACCAGTTCTTTAAAGTTGCGTGTCTATGGCAGGAGAAACATTGGTACGACCAATACCAGGAGTAGTAAGAGGGAAATGACCAGTTCTTTGAAGTTGCGTGACTATGGCAGGAGAAACATTGGCAAGACCAATACCAGGAGTAGTAAGGGGAAATGCAGCGCCTGTGCTTGCGAGGATGATGGCCCTGAATGGTGCTACGTAGACCAACTCCAGTCGATGTCGCTTAACTACAATTGGCGCTAACCTGAAGTCAGGCATGAATGATTGGAATGCATTTTATTATTTATTTGTTATTTATTACAAATACCTACATCGCCCATTGGGCATTGTTGTAGGGAGGTTACAGTAGAAAATAGAATACAAAACAGCAAAATTAAAAGCAAATAAATCGTGCATTACACTATACAGGAGAAATCAACACTTGTAGTACAGCATTAGGACAAAAGTACAAAACACAGGATTATACAATGAAAGCAGCGATTATACATATAAAAAATCAACAACCAAGAGAAGTACAAAGCCAACGTTAAATATATGGGTTATTTCAGCAGCTCAAAATGCTGTTTCAATGGCTGTTAGGAAATTAGAATCAGAGAATATTGGTATTTTTAGTGCATTCCAGCCACTAATGGAATTTGGAAAGAAAAAAATGGAAAAAAATGCATATGTAATTTTTATAAAATTACACGCGCAGCCCTTAAACCCTAATAGACGTTTCACGAAAAATGCTTTTCCATAGGGTCTTTTTCCAAAGTAGTACCGCGAACTGGCATAGATTTGAGGTATATTACTGGATTGCCACGTGAGATGCCGAAATTTGGTTACTGTGGGGACCCTAACATTTATTCTTGCCCCGCCGCGGCGGTCTAGTGGCTAAGGTACTCGGCTACTGACCCGCAGGTCGCGGGTTCGAATCCCGGCTGCTGCGGCTGCATTTCCGATGGAGGCGGAAATGTTGTAGGCCCGTGTGCTCAGATTTTGGTGCACGTTAAAGAACCCCAAGTGGTCAAAATTTTCTGAGCCCTCCACTACGGCGTCTCTCATAATCATATGGTGGTTTTGGGACGTTAAACCCCACATATCTATCTATCTAACATTTATTCTTTGCATTCGTCGGGTCAACGTTGCCGATGTTCGTTTCTCTTAATGTTCTTTCATTTAAGTCACCAATGTGTGTTCTTGTCTTTCCAGGGTAGATATAAATTGCTAAACACT